GGATTCTTCTTTATGTATGTAGATTTTAAACCCTTGGCGGGGGCGAGAGAAACCACCTTTTGGTTCTGTATCTGTACAGCGCCTAGCACACCGAGGTTCTCTTCCTTGACCTTGGCTCCTCCTGGGCACTACTGCAAGGAGCTATAGTGGAGGTTCTGCATGGATCCAAAGAAGACAGGGATGATAAACTGTTTCTGCTTTCAAACACAATCTGTGCCGGAGGTCAGGTGAAAGCAGCCAGTATTTCCAGATGCAGCACCTCGACCTGGGATGGATTTCTGCAGCTGGGGAAAAGTTGGGAACTGGTCTCCTGATCCCTGCCAATATCCCTCCTGGGGGAGCTGTACCAAGGAGGAGGAAAGCACCCCAAATCTACCCGAGCTGGTTTCCTTAAATCCAGTATGGGCGGTTTGCCAAACAAACTAAAATAATCTATCCCAAATCCACCGGTACTAAGAGGAAATCAGCGAAGGTACTTGGTATTACCTGCATCTCAGGTTGCAAAGCCAGAGCGCTGAAGAGTCCCTTCCTATTCCAGCAAATAAGAAACAGCAGGGAGCGGTAACACAGCCTGTGCCCAGCTGCGCTCCGGAAGGTCCCTGGCGAGGCTCGGGCTACGCAGCTAGCCTCCGGCATGGACCGAGGCGCCATCTAGTGGCCACGTGCCGCCAGCGTCTCAGCTATGCGCCTTGTTTCCAAGCCCATGTTGCGCGGGTTTTACCTGTTTAAAGCACCGTGGTTCGCCCTTTAAAAAGCGGAGTATTTGTTGGCGGGGTTTAGTGTACCCGACTAAACATAATTTAATTTGTAAACTACGTAATTATGAGGGGGAAAAAGTGAAACTTCCCATACCGGGAGTCGAACCCGGGCCGCCTGGGTGAAAACCAGGAATCCTAACCGCTAGACCATATGGGAGGCGGTGAATGAACTTCTCTGTCCGCCTCTCTCATAGTTGTTCTCTGCTGCTTCATTTGTTCGGTCCCTTTCTACTTGCCTTTGGCTCTAGCAAACAAGCCTATGATATGACTGGTTTCAGAGTAACAGCCGTGTTAGTCTGTATTCGCAAAAAGAAAAGGAGTACTTGTGGCACCTTAGAGACTAACCAATTTATTTGAGCATGAGCTTTCGTGAGCTACAGCTCACTTCATCAGATGCATACCGTGGAAACTGCAGCAGACTTTATATATACACAGAGAATATGAAACAAAAGCAGCATCACTTGCCCCATAACCTCAGCCATGCGGAACGCAATGCCATCCACAGCCTCAGAAACAACTCTGACATCATAATCAAAAAGGCTGACAAAGGAGGTGCTGTTGTCATCATGAATAGGTCGGAATATGAACAAGAGGCTGCTCGGCAGCTCTCCAACATGAGTTTCTACAAGCCATTACCCTATGATCCCACTGAGAGTTACCAAAAGCAACTACAGCATTTGCTCAAGAAAATTCCTGAAAAAGCACAAGATCAAATCCGCACAGACACACCCCTGGAACCCCGACCTGGGATATTCTATCTACTACCCAAGATCCATAAACCTGGAAATCCTGGGCGCCCCATCATCTCAGGCATTGGCACCCTGACAGCAGGATTGTCTGGCTATGTAGACTCCCTCCTCAGGCCCTACGCTACCAGCACTCCCAGCTACCTTCGAGACACCACTGACTTCCTGAGGAAACTTCAATCCATCGGTGATCTTCCTGATAACACCATCCTGGCTACTATACAAAGATGGACTACAAGCCGTCAAGAACACTATCCCCGATAATGTCACGGCTAACCTGGTGGCTGAACTTTGTGACTTTGTCCTTACCCATAACTATTTCACATTTGGGGACAATGTATACCTTCAGATCAGCGGCACTGCTATGGGTACCCGCATGGCCCCACAGTATGCCAACATTTTTATGGCTGATTTAGAACAACGCTTCCTCAGCTCTCGTCCCCTAAAGCCCCTACTCTACTTGCGCTATATTGATGACATCTTCATCATCTGGACCCAGGGAAAAGAAGCCCTTGAGGAATTCCACCATGATTTCAACAATTTCCATCCCACCACCAACCTCAGCCTGGTCCAGTCCACACAAGAGATCCACTTCCTGGACACTACAGTGCTAATAAACAATGGCCACATAAACACCACCCTATACCGGAAACCTACTGACCGCTATTCCTACCTGCATGCCTCCAGCTTTCACCCTGACCACACCACACGATCCATCGTCTACAGCCAAGCTCTGTGATACAACCGCATTTGCTCCAACCCCTCAGACAGAGACAAACACCTACAAGATCTCTGTCAAGCTTTCTTACAACTACAATACCCACCTGCAGAAGTAAAGAAACAGATTGATAGAGCCAGAAGAGTTCCCAGAAGTTACCTACTACAGGACAGGCCTAACAAAGAAAATAACAGAACGCCACTAGCGGTCACCTTCAGCCCCCAACTAAAACCCCTCCAACGCATTATTAAGGATCTACAACCTATCCTAAAGGATGACCCAACACTCTCACAAGTCTTGGGAGACAGGCCAGTCCTTGCCTACAGACAGCCCCGCAACCTGAAGCAAATACTCACCAACAACCACATACCACACACCACACAACAGAACCACTAACCCAGGAACTTATCCTTGCAACAAAGCCCGTTGCCAATTGTGCCCACATATCTATTCAGGGGACACCATCACAGGGCCTAATAACATCAGCCACACTATCAGAGGCTCGTTCACCTGCACATCCACCAATGTGATATATGCCATCATGTGCCAGCAATGCCCCTCTGCCATGTACATTGGTCAAACTGGACAGTCTCTACGTAAAAGAATAAATGGACACAAATCAGATGTCAAGAATTATAACATTCATAAACCAGTCGGAGAACACTTCAATCTCTCTGGTCACGCAATCACAGACATGAAGGTCGCTATCTTACAACAAAAAAACTTCAAATCCAGACTCCAGCGAGAAACTGCTGAATTGGAATTCATTTGCAAATTGGATACTATTAATTTAGGCTTAAATAGAGACTGGGAGTGGCTAAGTCATTATGCAAGGTAGCCTGTTTCCTCTTGTTTTTTCCTACCCGCCCCCCCCAGATGTTCTGGTTTAACTTGGATTTAAACTTGGAGAGTGGTCAGTTTAGATGAGCTATTACCAGCAGGAGAGTGAGTTTGTGTGTGTATGGGGGTGGGGGGGATGTGAGAAAACCTGGATTTATGCAGGAAATAGCCCGACTTGATTATGTAAAGAGTTGTCACTTTGGATGGGCTAGCACCAGCAGGAGAGTGAATTTGTGTGGGGGGGTGGAGGGTGAGAAAACCTGGATTTGTGCTGGAAATGGCCCACCTGATGATCACTTTAGATAAGCTATTACCAGCAGGACAGTGGGGTGGGAGGAGGTATTGTTTCATATTCTCTGTGTATATATAAAGTCTGCTGCAGTTTCCACGGTATGCATCTGATGAAGTGAGCTGTAGCTCACGAAAGCTCATGCTCAAATAAATTGGTTAGTCTCTAAGGTGCCACAAGTAATCCTTTTCTTTTTATGATATGACTGTAGCACTCCCTTATAGTGGCGATAGGCATTAGGACTAATCATATCATCCCAGGTAAAATTGTCCTCTGTATCTAAACTGAGGAAAAGTGATCAGATGGGGAAAATAGATGCCTCTTGAATAATACTGAGTTTTTGGTAAATGCAAACCTGCAACATTCCTGCAGTGTGCATGCACAAACCATGTCTAACCAGTTTGACTTGCCCTAATGCACACCATCTAGACATGCACATATGGGATTATAACAAGCATGGTTCTACATAGGCCTGTATTCACCCCAGCCATAGGTTACATTGCATTATCTGTGGTATTGGATGGAATAATCAGTATGCTCCCAGGTTGGCTGTGAACTAAAGTCCTGGAGTGAGACACCCATAAACTTGGATCCAAATTTTGCAACCGGACTGGTCCAGTCTCTATCATGGGACAAATCAAAATCTTGGAGCCAAATACCCCCACATGGTGCTAATGTTTGGAAATGTTTGTTTAATGGCTGAGACAAATCCTGTATCCAAACAAAATCTTGGGAAAATTTGGATCCAAACTTTGCAGCTAAGGCCCATCTCTAATATGTATACTTGGGCCCTGATTCTGCAATGCTCCCCTCTCCCACAACGATCCTACACCTGAGGCCTGATGTCCCATATGTGCAAATCCTACACTCTGAGCCTAATTCTGCACTTTGTACATGTGCCAATCATAGGTGTGGGACTTGCTTCTATGCCCTAAGCAGGTGTCAGTCATGAACATGGAACTCGATCCTGCACATAACACACTATGCCCCCACAAATGCACCAATCATACCCCTGGGAACTGATCATACAGCACCAGGTGCATGCACCAATCATACACACAGTGCCCAACCCTTCACTCCATGCGCTATTTATTCCATGCATGTTCCAATCATTCCCACGGGGCCCAATCCTGTACCCCATCAGCTACAACCCATACATGCTAATCATACATGTGACCTGATGCTGCACCCCATACATGAATCCCTCAGGACACAATATCCACTGCATATGCCACACCCCAGATATCCCCAATCAAACATTGGGGCCCAATCCTGCACCATATACACAGTCATATAGATGGGGCTTGACTCTGCATCCTACACACAGAACACCACAGGTACCCCAGTCAGGCAGACAGGGCCCAAGTCTGTATCCTACATGCACCCCAGGCTCTCTGCAGTCATACACTTGAGCCCAGACTTGCAAGGTGCTGAGCACCCATGACCCCCATTGACAACAGCGGGCTTGGTGGTGCCCCCCAATCCCCCGGGCCAGGCTGCCAGTGATCATGCCGGCTACAGAAGCAGTGCCTCACTTATGGGCAATTTGCCCCTACGCAAGATGGCCGCCCTGGCTTCACCCACCCTTCGCGGCCCTGCGGCAGTTCTCGCCCTTCCGCCTTCAGTCACCTGACGGGCGGGGGAGGAGAGGGCTGGGCGGCTGTTCACGTGACCGGCTGAGGCAGCCTAGTCCCGAGTCTCGTGAGCCAGGGGCGCAGGGGGTGTCCCGGGGGCCGCATCCGAAGGAGGAGAGACCCCGCCGGGCGGCTGGCTCAGGCAAGGCCGAGGCCTCGGGGCCTAGCGGGGGGATTGTCTCTCTCTGCGCGCCGAGCCCTGCCCCCAGGACCCCCCGCTGGGCGCGGGCCGGGAGAGACCCCCCCGACCCGCTGCGTTCGCACAGCCCCCGCTCGCCAGGGAGGCGGCCTGGGGCGCAGAGCAGGGACCCCCCGCCCCACCGCGGGGTCGGCCCAGGCGGCGCCGCGCTCAGAGCCAGAGGTAACGGGGGCGAGGGGCCGGGGCAGCAGGGTCTGGGGGGAGGGGGTCTGGGGTTGCTGTGGGGATGCAGTGACTGTGAGGGGGTCAGTGTGGCTGGCTGGGGTGAGGGGGGTATGAGTATCTGGGTTTAAAAGGCACGGGGTAGAGCAGGATCACTGACATGAAGGGGGAGTTGCGATGGGCAGGGCTCAGTATGTGAATGGCTGTGTAATAACCTGGGGTGCGGGGAACACTGTGTAGGGTGTAACTAGGGGGTTTGTATAGGGCTAAAGATTAATTTGTTTCGGGTGTAATGTCAAAGTTTGTGGGGTGGTTAGAGGATAATGGGGGATATTAGGGTATGTGGGAGCATGTGACTAGTTTGCCTTGGGGTGGTTAGTGTGTACATGAGTGACCAATGGTGAACGGGAAGGGTCATGGGGATTTGTGCGTTTGGTTGGAACTACTTACTGTTGGGGTTTACAGAATGGGTACTATGTGGAACAGTAATGTGGGGGTTAATTTAAATGTGGGAATAGAAGTGTTGCTAATTGACAGTGCTGCAGGGGAATGGAGAGAGAGAGTGTGTGGGTATTAGGAGTTTGACATGCTGGTGGAGGGTGTCCTGTCATTTTCCACCACACACTGAATTTCTCTTATGTCTAATTTAACTACATAGTTAAGAGAGGTGTAAGCATGGGTGTTTTAAGGATCTCTTTATGATAGGATGTTTTTCCTAAAGATTCCTTCAGCTCTTTTGCCTGAGACAAAAGTTGTAAAGTGCCTTCTGTAACTCGCCCTGTTATCTGGGTTGTGATGAAGTTGTTAACTGGAGCAGAGGAAAGTACAGCAGTGTAACAGGGATGCTTGTCTTTGTCTTAAATCTGTAGGTGGGTGATGCCAAGCACAGCCATGAAGAAAAAGGTAAGAATTGGATTACACACTCTCTGTTTTTGCTACCTACATTGGCAAATGCTGATCAAGTTTCCCTTTGAACCTAGCAAAATACCTTTGAGATCCCAAAGGGCTCATCAGATACCTTCTGGTGTGGAAGCTTGCACTAGTCTCATGGTATGATCTTCATGATTGTCAAGTGACCATTAATACTCAAAGACCTCTTTCGCATCCTGCGGTAGTGATAGCTGCTGTGTCCTTCACTTAACGTAATAGGACTTGAAAATTAGTATTTCTCAAATATTTTGATAATCAGAGCAGCTGGGCTTGTGCAAAGTGGAACCTGCCATAGTAACCACTAATTGAATACACCTCACTCATGGCAAATACTTAAGTAAAAATTTAGTGTTAAGGGGAGAAAATGTGTTATGCTCTAGTTTATATGTATGTATGTAATGAAACACTCCTGATCTCTGTCAGAGAAATGTGCTTTGGAAGGTTATATTTGCATTGAGGGGTTCAAGTGATATCTTATCTGGAGAGGGAAGTTTGGTTGTCTTCAATAGTGATTGGAAGCCAATGATGGAAATATAGCTCCTCTACTCAGAATTAGGAGTGTAGATATTACAGTGATAACTGTATTAGAAATGCCTAAGATTGCTAACTAAAGAATGTGACTACTCTTGTATGTTTTACTTGGATCAGATTTCTCCTCTTCCCCCATATTGGGGTCTAGTCCCTTTGAAAAGCCACCAGAGGAATTGGTGGTGGAATCTCACACCTTTGAATTTAGATTTGATTTTAAATTGGATAGCGCTATGTCTAACTATTACAACAGGCTGACGCTCATGCAGACATTTCTTCACCAATTTTGTTGTGAAGCAAGATCAGATATCTCTCCTTCTTTTGGCCTCTTATATGCAATCACCAGAGAACACTATACTTGGGGGTTAGCTTCAAAGAGTCTGAGACACATTACAGGGCCTGTCTGCGTCTTTGAAGAAGAGTATGTTGCCATTCTTCTGCTGCAAAGTCCACCAAAACCTGTTATCCTGAACTCTGTTATGCTGTGGGAGCACTTCAACTAGTCTGTACCTTAATGATGTGGTGAGCTGCTTTTGGAAGGGAACTAGTTAGCCTATTAATGTGATTCTTCTCAGAAAAGTGACTAAAAATAGCAAGGTGGGATTCCATGTCAATTGGTTAAGTCTGAAATTTGTTTTCTAGTTGTAAACCATGCTCTGAGATCTGTGAACTCTGGGATCTGAGAATCAAGCGGGTATCTTCCTGACTCATACTCTATTGCCAGTCAAAGGTTCTGTAGGACAGCTTCAGCGTAGCGTTGCATCTTTTTTTTTTTTTTAAACCCTGCTGTCTATAATAGGATTTCAGAGGTGTTTCCAAAGGCAGAACTTTGTTTTGGGACTGGAACTTGGCTAATGATTCTTTTGATAGTGTGAGCCAATCCCTGCTGCTATAAAATCATTTAGGGTTGCTACTGAGCCATTCAAATTATTTCTCCCACAAAAAACCAAAAACCTAATCACAATGTCTCCTGCTCTTTCATGGCCTGCTGACCTGGGAAGCAAGAGGTTGGGATTGCATCTGTGCCTCCTGTGTAGCAGTACTGGGTAGTCAAATTATACTGGTCCGTCTGCTTTTAAACTTCTTTCTGCTTTCCAGCATGTTCACATCTAAAAGCCAGATGTGGATTTCATTTCACAGTCAGGGAGGAGAATCTGGTTCTTGTATTGTGAGGTGGACTGTACAAAACATAAGAAGAGTGGTGAGGGGAGGGCAGAGGACATGGAATGGTCAAGTGCTTTTTTTAAAATGTTTGGGATTAAATGTTTTTGGCTCATCAAATCCTTGTTCTCTGATGAATCAGGAAGAGCAAGCTTTCATCTTAAGTGCCAGTGTGTTTGGAGAACATGTGTGGAGGCTGGGGAAGTGAAAGATTAAAAACTACTTCAAAAATAAATGTAGCTCTTCACTGGATGTCTGAAATCCAGCTGTGAACTCTGCAGAGTGCCTTCTCAATGTATGTAGCAGAAATGATCTCAGGTTGACTTTCTCTGTGACACATTCATGCATTGTGATTGTTTTTTATTGGCATGGGGGTCAAGATGAGAAGAATGAATAAGCTTCAAGAACCACAGTAACTTTTCTTCTGGATTTTAGGAAACTATACAATCAATACTAGGGACAGGGTATGCAGCTCCCTGAGAGTGATCTGACTATGGGGAAGGAAGAAAGCAAAAGCCAAGGAGAAGAGGAATGGTCCTTCTGTGTGTTGAATAAATGGAAGGCATGTAAAGTGACAGTGAGAGTTTTATAGTGTGTAATGCTTGTTAATTGACCATGAATATCAAGGAATTAAGAACACGTCTTCCAGTCATTCAGGTTTAAGACTTTTGTTTGCTAGCCTTTTTTGAGGCGTCCAAATCACGATATGCACAGGTCAAGTCCTCTGTGCATGGGGCTACTAAAACCTTTTGTCTTTACACCATTAGTATTTAGGCATTAAAGAGCCATGGAGAAGCCAGTGTTCACTGTAGTTGAACTCTTCTCTCTTTTCTTTCCTTACCAGGTGCTGTTGATGGGTAAAAGTGGGTCTGGAAAGACCAGCATGAGATCCATTATCTTTGCAAACTACATCGCCAGAGACACACGGCGCCTTGGTGCCACAAGTAAGATCTTGGTCTCTTATTGACTCCTTATTGATGCCTGTGCTCTTGAACTTGAGTTAACATTTAAGACCATCTGCACAGAGATGCAAGGCAGTTACCCACTGAGACTCTCCCCTTTCCTCTGTGGATGGAGTAATAGGGTGTCTCTTTTGTCTGCTGGGCCCCTCCATGAGGGGTCTGGCTGAAAATCTGAGCCAAAGTACCTTGGATGTGGGTGAGGTGGACTGATCCCTCTCCTTTAAGCTGTGGGCCAGAAGGTGACTTTAAATGTTGATGCAAATAGAGTTCTGAAGCTAATGCTTTTCCACTGACCCTGCCTTCCCATGAAGAAGTGTTCAGAATTGCTGATGAACCCTCCAGAGAAGACCTGACTTCTCTATGCCAACACAATGATTTTGGGCAGTAATAAACTTGCTAGAGAGTGGGGCTCAGTGGTCTTAGCAGAAAGACCTCTGCGTAGATGATTCTGCAATACGCAATACTCCATATTTGTTGAAGGTAGGACATGGGGTCTTAATCTGCAGCAAGGGAGATTTAGGACAGATATTAGGAAAAGGTTTCTAAATATAAGGGTAGTTAAGCTCTGGAATAGGTTTCCAAGGGAGACCCCATAATTGGAAGTTTTTAAAAACATGTTGGATAAACGTCTATCAGGGATGGTCTAAGTTTCCTTAGTCCTGCCACAGCACAGCGGGCTGGACTTAATGACATCATGAGATCCCTTCCAGCCCTACATTTCTATGATTCTATATTCATCCATGGCAGAATATACCTAGTAAAGCTGAGTAGCTGGAATTCCACACTTACAGCTCTGGGCTTCAAAGAGTCACCGTAAATCACGTTTTCAACTGTGTTGGATGGTAACTTTCCAGTAGTTCCCCTTTTCAGTTGATCTGTGTTTCATGTACATGTGGTATCAGATTACGGAGCCTGAGTGCTGGTCTCTGTGTTAAGGTGTTCGCCCCACACTGGGGTTACCAGATGTCCCAATTTTACAGAGACAACATAAGAACAGTTATTAGACTTCTCTTGTCTCTTTCCAGTTGACGTGGAGCACTCCCATGTTCGATTTCTGGGAAACCTGGTGCTGAACCTGTGGGACTGTGGAGGGTAGGTGTTGTCTGTTCTTTTGCTTGTGAAACCCATGGAGGTGGCTGTGGCAACTAGGATGGTGATCTGATACATTAGGAGGCTGTCCTTTTAGCTAAAGTGGGATAGGAATGCTTTCTGTGTATTAAGTGAACTGTTGATGAAGGCTTATAGAACTGTAGATGGTACCATATAATTAATAAACCACATCATAAACTCAGACTTGGGGGCGGGGTGAAAGGTGCTGACTTGATGATCATGGAGCCCAAAGTAACCTCTCCATGGGAGGGGGAGTAAACTGCCTCTCCCTTCCCTCACTGCTTCTTTATCCTGTCAAAACAATGTCTCTGAGCCTTGCAAAATAGATGAGCTACCTCTAGGGCTGCAGAATTGTTGTTGGAAATGGATTCTAGTACTTTTTGTTTTGGGGTCATTGCTTCAGATAGGACCAGACTGGTAGTGTTGGCCCACTAGCTTTTGTTAAATGAATTGGGGGTGGCACTGTGGTTCCTGATGGGTAGCTGTCCATAGAAGAAGCCCTCTCGTTGGCACTCAGCAGAGATGGGAAAGGCATAAAGGCTGAACAGCCTTCTGATGAGGCTTCTGATGAGCCTTCTGATGAGCCTTCTGAACAGCCTTCTGAATGGACTTGGTTTCCTATAAAAAGTTGATATACTCAAGTGGGGCAAGGATGGGGCTCACTTGAAAGAGTAAGCTTACACCGCCCATACTGTACCTGTTCTGTGCCTAAGTAGAGGACTTCAGTTTCTACAGTTGCTGTATTGATAGCTCAGTCCTCATACATAATAGACTTTCTTGGCAATGCAGACAAATGGGTAAACGAAGCTGGTCTGATTGATCTAACTGGAGTCCCTTTGCCTTGCTGCTATGCCCCTTCTCAGACAAGACACCTTCATGGAGAACTACTTCACCAGCCAGCGGGACAACATCTTCCGCAATGTGGAAGTCCTGATCTATGTCTTCGACGTGGAGAGTCGCGAGCTGGAGAAGGACATGCACTACTACCAGTCGTGTCTGGAGGCTATCCTGCAGAACTCTCCTGATGCCAAGATCTTCTGCCTAGTGCACAAGATGGATCTAGTGCAGGAGGACCAGCGTGATCTGGTAAGGAGCTAAGGATTGCCTTATCAGTGTGGACTCTGTAACAGAGAGCATGCATAATGTTGTTTCCATCTTTCACTTTAAATGTAGTCACACCCGCACTTTCTCCAGAAAGTTTTTTTCAGGTTTGTGTGTGGGGAAAATCTCTGAAAAGTTGAGTTGCTCCCAACCTCCAAACCTGTAGTCTCCATGCTACTGCTGGCCCATTTTGTATAATGCCTGTCTAATGACCTACACAGAGAAGAGACTCTCCATGCCAAATTACCTGTAATCTTCTCCTTTATGGTGTCAGTTTTAGCATCGTTACCAATTTTTGGGATAGGTGGCACAAAGAAAAACTCAAAAGGTGTAACCTCCCTGTTGTACGTCAAAGGTTTAGGTGATCAACTCTATTACCATTATGCTGCTGGTTCAAATCCAGCTCAGCTGCGTATTGAATAAAAATAGTTACCACGTGTCAGCTGTTTAGCCTGTGTTGTAAATTGGGGAAGTCTCAATCTCAATCCTAGTGGACAGATGTCCACATCACAGTTGGCACTAGCCAACACAGAGACTGACAGTTGTAAGCAAAGGGGCCATGGACTATGAACTGGCATTGAGTCTGACCTGCCTTCTTGCTCAGATGTATGGGCTGGCTGAAGTACAGCCAAGTATTTCCAGCACTTGGCGCAAAACCTGCGGAGACACTTAAGGATGGAGTTCCAAAGTGCCCAGCAGCTCCTGTTATTCCTAGGACAGGAGTGAGATTCCCCATTGTTCTCAGTGGCAGCTGTTACATGCTGCACTCTGTCTTTAATCTGGGCCATGGTAATCTTTCAGTGAGAAAGCTATACCCAACTCCTGGTGTTAGATGAGAAATTTAACTTTTTGGGTTAGATACATTTCTTTATGACACATGCACACCCCTAGCTCTGCGGTTGATCATCAACCTGGTTCAGACCTGGAGATCACTTCTTTGGTCTAGTGCAGCGGTTCTCAAACTTTAGTAACCTGAGGACACCCATTTTGGTTTAAAATTTTTGCCACTGACCCCTAAGCCTGCAGCTCAGCCCCAGGCCCCATCCCCATCCCCACCCCACCTCTTCCTGCCCCCACTCTACCCTTGCCCCTCCTCTTCTATGCCTCTTTCTGCCACCTCCCCCAAGTGCCCCCATTCCCCTCCTCACCCTCCCTCCCAGCACCTCCTGCACACTGGGGAGGAGCAGGAGGAGTTTAGGGAGGGAGGGGGAGGAGTTGATCAGTGGGGTCAGTAGCCCCGGACATGATTCCTCCCACTCCCCTCCCAATGCCTCCTGCACGCCGGGAACAGTTATTCCCTGGTGTACAGGAAGCACTGGGATGGGAGGGGGAGGAGTTGGTCAGCAGGGTCCGTGGACCCCCTGGCAGACGCCAGTTTGAGAAACGCTGGTCTAGCGTACTCAACGCACTGAACTCTTCGTCACTTCCAGCTTGATACATCTCTGTCCAGATGTGCAACGAAGGGCTCAGAGAAGAGCAAGTTGGCCACGTGGGTGAAGCCACAGGCTGGTCTTCCCTGGGTAGACAAACTTCTTCAATGAAACAAATTGGCTCACAAATCAGCAGATACTAGCTAGTGTTCTGAGCCTCATTTTGTCACTCTAGCTCGACCTGGCTGTAACTTAAACCATTTTCCTTCTGGAGCTTGTTTGAATGTTACCTTCCATCCTCCCCAGCAAGGGGTCAGGAATGTCCTGGACTCTGCATAAGTTAAATGAAAGCTGGTTCCATAGGGCTGTGATGCTTGATATTTCAGTTTGCTGTCCAGTAATTATTAACATCGGTATCCACACCAACCAACTGCATATGAATTCTAACCATTCTCTGAAATAAGGAAAGGCATGGCGGCTGAAATAGTGCAGTGACACAACTTGCAAGCATTGCAGCCCCTCTAGTAGGAACTGCTTTGAGGTATCTACTAGTCTCCTTTGAGTCAGGGATTCTGTCTGTTTGCTTGGGCCTAACTGTTGACCTGACTTGAAAGTAGTGCCAAATTGTGGACCTTGATGTCTTGTGTGTATTGGGTTACGTAGTCGATCAGGAGGTTTCTGGATGTTCCCTGCTTTCACGTTCCTGAAAACAGATTAAAAATAGCTTGTGGAAATCAGGAATATAAACCCTGTGACGTGGGTCAGCTTTCAGGTTGGGGCCTTCTTAAGCATACGAATCTCAAATGTCTTAAGGTTGGGGTCTCTTGTGGATTGGAATATCAGAGAAAAAGAGGAGAAACCTCAAAGAAATCAAAATGCTGTTGATCTTCAGCATGTTGTTAACACACTGGGCTGGGATAGAAATGATTTTTTCCCTATCCCTGTTCATTCCTAATGTCCACTTCTGAGGCTTCCTGCCTCATAGATGTGGGTGGAACAGACAGTCTGGATTTTGCCAGTGAATTTACTATGAATAATTTACTTTTTCCACACCAGGGGGCTCACTGCTAGCTGTTTACCTTGCTTTTGTAATGATTTCTTAAGTTCTGATATCTTGGAAAGTCTTATTTTGACCCATCTCAGCTATTTTTAAACCATAACCTGTAAGAGCAGAGTAAGGTGTGGGACAGTGGGGTTATGCAGTGACTACTTAACCCATGGCAGCTTAGTTAATGCAGCACACTTCATTGTAAGGGTTTTCTCCCATTCTCTTTTAACCTGAATGCCTATTAAGTCCTTGTTCACATTTGTAAGTCTATGAGTAGGGCTCTATCAAATTCACGGTCCATTTTCACAAATTTCACAGTCATAGCATTTTTAAAACCTTGAATTTCACAGTTTCAGATATTTAAACCTTAAATTTCACAGTGTTTTTCACAGTAGGGTAGGGCCCTATCTATGAGTAAACTTGGAACTCATGAAATATAACATGACTAATGATTATTATCGGAGCCAGGCATGTACAAGCAGCAATTGTGCACACTTCTCCTGCGCAGCTCTGCCAATTCACCTGGTTCCTAACCTGTAGCACGCACAATTTTCCAGTCCTGAGGTCCCACCCAGCTCTGCTGATGTAACTCAGTTTTGATCTGCAGCCCCCTGTTCTTCCAGTCACGGATCCCTCAGACAGCTCTGCTAGGGCACCTCTATTCTGGCCTGCAGCATCCTCAGCTGCTCTGGCACTGGAAAATATTGTGCGCCCTTGAGTTCTGTTTTGAAATGCAAAGTTCTTACTATAAATGTGGTAAAATAACCACAGCAGAAGCATTCACCAAAAAACAGGAATGTATGTGTTCATCTAGGACAGTGGTGCTCAGACTGAGGCTCGGGAGCTGCAAGTGGCTCTTCAATGTGTCTTTTGTGGCTCTTTGCAGCATATAATATTAAAACACAGTGTGATATTAATTATTAACCAATGTAAGCTATTAACCAATCAGGATGCTTTCACTATGTTATTAACCAATTGTTGATAAAATAATACTTAGTCAAAATAATCAAGAAAAAAATTATGTATATAAAAATAGTAAATGAAACCATGAATTAACACTACTGTTGCTCTTTTGGGTAATGTTAATTGCTGATTTGGCTCCTGAACCACTGAGGTCTGAGTATCACTGATCTAAAAATATCAAACTTCTGTCTTCCAGATTTTTAAAGAGAGGGAGGAAGACCTGAGGCGACTGTCCCGCCCCCTGGAGTGTGCATGCTTTAGAACGTCCATCTGGGATGAAACACTTTATAAGGTTTGAATGGCTGCTTCTCTTCATGGGTGGGATTTCCCTTCATCTTCCTCCTGCTCTACTGTTGTGTAAGCTGCATTGTCAGTTGCTGCAGAGTTCCATAGCTTGACTGGACTCCCCTAACCCTTTAACTTCTAAATGTTTTCTGAAACAAGTGGTTCCATTCTGGCTGTTCAAGTGGTAGGGCTGATCGCAGTTAAATTGCTGGCTTCATAAAATAAATCCACCTTTCCTTTCTCCCATCAGTATTATGGTTCATAGTCCTGTATCTTCCTGTTAATACAGCCCACATACTCTCTGCCCAATTCATTTAGAAGGACCCTCCACCCCACTTAACACAATAATGTGTTCAGCCAGTGCAGAATTGTTTCCATGTTCTATTTTCTAGGACATTGTCAAGTAGTCAATGACTCAAGTGTTTGGGCTTCCACACATCTGCCTGGAAGACTACTTCATAGTCTGGAAGCTTATCTTGATATCTAGCCTAAACTTTCCTTACCTTCATGCTTCTCAGTTACCTATTAAGATCTCCCTCCAGATATTGGGGTCATGGATGTTACATGGATCAGATTGAGAGAAAATTATGGTTCTACAAATGTGCCACAACCATCTCAATGGGCAAAGGTAGTGAGAGCCCATTAGCCTTCTTGATAGACTGACGTTCATAGGAGTTGATCTTCTGGCAGTCCCTTTGACTTCAGTGGGAGGTGAAGCTGGGCACCTTCTAAAATCTATCCATGAGTACAAAGAATGCCCCAGCCTACAGTATGTGGGATCAGCCTGAATGAAGCTGATCCAGGCTGCACCCTCCTGAAATTAGTTTTTCTGTCTCTTTAGTGTGTACACTGGTCCCATACTGTAGGCATTTAGCACATTTCCCTTTTGAGAGCCAACTAGATACAGATTGGCTAACCTTTCTTCTTAAATGGATCCCTGCAGCCAGCCGGTCAGTCATTGTGGATGCTCTTGTTTATGCTTCATATTGAAGTGCCCAGAGGCTGAACTGCATCATTCTAGGTACAGTCCCATAAGAGCTCTGTATTGAAAATGAATATTTTGGACCTTCTGCCTTCAGACAAGGTGAAACCTCAACTGTTCCCTTGAGCACCAGAGAAATGCCAATTAAATATAAAAAAGCTTTGGTTTTGCCCAATTTGCTTGTATGTTGGAATTCTAATAGACAAGCAAATCACTGTCTGTGTACTATGCTTGGCATAGGCAGTGAGGTGAAGCCCTTACAGACTGAGGGCCTGATCCTGAGATGTGCTGAGCACCTGTAACTCCACTGGAGCCAACTGTAATTGAGCGCTTGTCATCTCTGGGGATCGGTCCCTGAGTTAATGCAGTGGTTCAGAGCCTTCTGCTGTTACTTCTATGGGTACACAGCAGAGATCTGCTTATTTCCAAGCAAGAAAACAGAAACCTGTGAGGCATTAGCTGGGAGCAGTAAACAAATGCTTCTCCTCTGGAAACATGGGTTCAAATTCAGCCCAGACATCACCTGGCAAATAGATGGTATCAGACTAGTCCCTGCAAGATTTTTGCATGTATCACAATTTGACGTGGCTGGTAGATTGATCAAGAAAAAGTGTGGGACTGGAACACCAGTGGGGGCCATAACCATAATTGAAGTGTGTGGGCACAGAGAGATGGGAGAAGCTTGCATAACTCCTGTCTCTGCTATCATTGACTGTAGCCTGAATTCGCTGACTCTTACAAGCACTTTGCATAACAAGAGAGGGAGGATGGGGACACCCTTATGCAATCCTCATAGCACTCACTGTACTTTTTGTCTTCTGACAGGCTTGGTCCAGTATAGTCTATCAGCTGATTCCTAATGTCCAGCAACTAGAAATGAACCTGAGGAACTTTGCTCAGATTATAGAAGCAGATGAAGTTCTTTTGTTTGAGAGAGCCACTTTCCTGGTGAGAACTGCCGTCCCTGCTCTTTGCTGTGTCCATTTGCTCCTTGGCCCTGTCCCTTAAGGAGGCAGATTCATGATTATAAAATGCATAGGGTCCTTGTATGAAAAGCACTGTAGAGTGCAAAGGACTCAGGTGGGGTTGATGACCATAACACATGCTAGGTGGAAGTTCCAGGTTGCAGAACTTTTCATTCAGTGCCTTTATGACAGAGGGAGTAAGGGCTTGCCTAGGCAGGGAAGCTATTCTGAAATAAGGTAGGATGTGAATTTAATGCACAAGAGCTATTTACGTGGATTAAGCCAAACTAAACAAAGGCACACTCAGTGTGGAATAAATGTGTCCACGTGGAGAGTTATGGTGCAGATTTTCACTTCCTCCCAGGTGGTACTTTAACCGTTCAGGGTCCCTCTGTTGCTGAGTACCTGATCCAATATAAACCTAATCCTGAGAGCTGGTTGAAAACTTTCCTCAAAACTTTCTTCCTGACACAATGTCGTGCTTTCTAAATGAAAACTTTTGTAGAAAGTTATTTTGTTTGGAACTTTCCACTTAAACAAACAAAATTTTTGGTTTTGTTTTTTTAATGGAAAATTTAGGGAACCACATCTTTCTTGAAATTGCCATCTTCCAATATGCTCTACTAGTTTCTGAGGGGTTTTGTAAATTAGTATGACATTAATGATCAACGTGATTGACAGCATTGTAATAAACCCCTATTTTCACATAACTCTTGAAAACAGCTATTTTTGGGACAGAAGCTTCTCATGCTCACAGCTTAAAAGTGACTGTTTTACAAAAAATATAAATTTCTGGATTTTTCTGCACTCTCATATCTTTGTAACTTCGCCATGGACTTAGTCCTCCTCGAGGAGAAATCTGTTTGACACAGTTGAAGAAACTCTGTTGAAAAACATCATTATGCGTATTTGGTAATCGTACTGGACATGCATGCAGTGTGAGGATTTGCTGGGTCCAGATACTTGCACGTTTGTTTGAATATGCAATCAGATTTTTTTAAAAATTAAATTTAAAACTATTTAGTGCATTCTTGACAGCTTTCTAAAAGACATTCTGCTTGTTCTTGTCTCAGTGTGGGGGCAAGATGAAGCATGGGCAATTGCAGGGCAAGGAAGAGGAGATCCTCAGGACTCATTAGGAGATGTGCTGGTGGATGGGAACTTCTGCTTTGATTGCTGAGTTAGTGATTTTTCCTTGCAGGTTATTTCCCATTATCAGTGCAAAGAACAGCGCGATATCCACAGATTTGAGAAAATCAGCAATATTATTAAACAGTTCAAGCTGAGCTGCAGGTGAGATGAATTATCTGTGTATTTGCGTTACTAAGAACTGGAAATCTTTAGACTCTGGTTGAGTGCCATCAGCCTGACTTGGCTGTGTTGATGTCCATCTACCCTGGCTAGGCATAAATGATAACTGTGTCAACCAGACACACCTTGTAAATTCTCTGTAGCACATCCTGGCCTTGAATTGAGTTATGGTTCTATGGATAATAGGCCACTAGAGAAGTTCTTATTCAGAAAGGTATTAGAATGTATCCTGTTTAATCGTGACTCAGTTTTTCATGCCTTTCATCTTTTTGGGGCGGGGGTGAGTGGGGTGTTCATTGAAAGAGGTTCTGAAACAGTTTTGCTCCCATCCTTTTTTCTTCTGGGTTCTGCAGAGAAGTTATAGTACTGAGCTTGTGACCTAATGACAGTTACTGATGATACTTAGAGGCACTGCAAATCTAAGAAAAGCACTTAGTTATGGGCGCAAGAACCAAAAAGCTGGTTTGAGAGAGGAAGCACTTGCTCAAACAAATTTAGCAACAGTCACAAAAGGAAAGCAGAAGACTTAAGACAAAGTTAAACTTTGAAATAGGTTTTTGTTTTTTTTTTTCCCAAAATTGATCCACTTTTGCCCTTCCATCCCTAATACTTGAAAAGATTTAGAACACTAATAGGGTAGGAGCAGCTGAATAGCTACATGCGTGCTTTAGTAGGCTGTTTCCAGAGTCTTCAGTTTACTACTCTCTTCTCTTGCTGGTCCACAGAGTCATTCTGCTATTGTTGACTTTGAGTCTGTGCTGAATGGTTCCAGCATGCACTGGTCAGGAGACACTTACTGTTGGGGGTGTAGCAAACTCAAACAGGTGTCGGTCACTATTGTGCAGTGCAAAAGCTGTTTTTTATTAAGTGTAAAAAGAGAACACTAACCCACCATGGCTAGTCAGTACTGAACAGAGAGCCTTGCTTAAATTGTGTTCAAGTTTTGTAACCATGAAGTAAATAAAAAATATAGCCACAGATTTTGTATCTGTCAAAAACAAAAACCTAGTGTCACCTACTGGCTCAGTTCTTATTTTACAAAGAAAGCTGTGCAGTTATGAATACATGATGTGACTAAAGTGATCTCTAGGTATGAGGTGCTTTGTAAATACAGTGATTGCTTTTGAAATGGTCACATAACAGGAGTTAACTCTCTTTTCTTTCCTCCTCACAGTAAGCTGGCTGCTTCTTTCCAGAGCATGGAAGTCAGGAACTCTAACTTTGCTGCTTTCATTGACATCTTCACATCGAATACATATGTGATGGTGGTCATGTCTGATCCTTCCATACGTAAGTTTAATAGAGCATAGGCATCTATTGTGTCGCTTTTACAGGGACCAAGAGCTAGTTAAACTTACATTTGGCTCTTGATACCATAAATGAGTACCCACCTACACTGTACAATCAGTGAAGCCCCTAAGACAGTTAAAACAGTTTAATTCTGGAATTGTGGATAGGACTTACACATGTTAAGTGTGCTTCACCATGGTTTGGGAACATTGGTTAAAAGATGGCTTGATCATGCAGTGCAAACAGCACCAGACTTTGCAAATCAAGTTCTTCTCTGCTGTTTCTCAGCATGGTGATTAATACAGGTGGGAGTTTATTCAGGCAATGTCAGTTAACATGTCTATTCTAGTAAAGCTGCGCACAGTAAATATTCTTTGCCAGATCTAATCTGGCAGCTGGGCTGTGAGTTTTAGGCCTAAACTTGAATGTGGGCATTTTCTAGGTGAATTGTTGTGCTTTGTTAGTTAGATCCAATTATGGATGCATTTTCCTTTTTAACTCAAGAAGAAATTGATAGATAAAATTACCATTGCTTACAGCCAAAGGGTGCAGGCCCTTGTATGTTCTTTGGTAACATGTTTTCCTATTGCGCACTATGAAACTGCTTTTTGTATTACGCTATTTGAGGATTTTAAGTGAGATAGCCATACGGCACATGGGCCTAGTGCTGTGATTCCCTGAGAGCAGAAAATACCTTTTAAAAACTACTTTACTGTATTTGGTTAGCCCCATGCATTTAATCCTACCAGACTGGGGGCTTGCTACCAGCTGTGATATTATCCTTTGGAAGCTCACAAATGGGAAGCTAAGAAAAAGCTAAAGGACCTTCCTTCCATAATCACAATTCCTGTTAACAAACCTTGCATCAATACAGTATACCTTCACTAGGTGCTCCCTTTGGGTCTCAGACAGCACCACTCAGGGATCATCCAGCAGAGCAACCCAATCTTGCCTGCTCTGCCCCTTATATTACATCCTCAGTGGCCTGGGAGTAGCAAAACAGACCTGGTAGAACTCACTTTTTAGATTAGTGGTACTTTTTCATAAGCACTAGACCCTTTAGGAAGAGAGGTCCTGTTTCCGTATGTTAGTTTTCCTCTCGAGAGTTTTATCAGTGAAATCTGACATTGGTCAATGTAAAATATTCCCTTTTCAGTGCTAAACAAGGTGGCAACTTGCCTTGTTTGTTTCACTCCTGGTGAAACCTGTAGCTATGGAGCTTTAGGGGAAACATGAACCAAAACCACACAGAGCTTTGTGGCTTCAGTCCTGCTGCTGTGAACCAAAACTCCTGCGTTTTACACTACAGGGAGCCTTCCTAGCTAACTTTTCCAGGCAGCTTTTAACTCCTGGTGAGCTAATTACTCACATCCTTTCTGGTTTTTCCTCTCTTGCCCCTTCTTCCCACTAGCTTCTGCAGCTACACTGATCAACATCCGCAACGCTAGGAAACACTTTGAGAAGCTGGAGAGAGTGGATGGACCAAAGCACAGTCTGCTCATGCGCTGAACACTGGCCAAGCCACATGGTCTTTGGGGGAGAAAAGTTGGAACTGCAGTTTTTTTAGGAGAATCTAACAATGTGGGTGTCTTGTGGGCTTTGAAATGAGTGTGCTGCTTACCACCGCAATCTTCTTTATTTTTTTCTCCTTTTAACATTGGACACTAGTCATTTGGATGATGTCTGGATACACAGTGGAACTTTAAGAGAGACTTCCTGGCACACTAGGGGTTGGGGAAGATGCAAGGGCAGGTGATTTGCACTTGGCCTGATAAGCCTAGTTGCCATAGTCACGCACACTGAAGCCTTTATGGATGTTTTCCTGTATTCCAGGTGATCATATAAATCACAAGGATGGAATATTACTATTTTATCAGCAAGTTGCTAGGATACATTTATAAATTTCTCCTTGTCTTCAGTCATGAAAATAAATTTTTGCTACCAGGGACTTTGATTCCCAGAGCTCTGGAAGTGATTATTTTTCCTTTTAAAATGTTGTTTTGAAGCTTTGCCATTGGACAGGCAAACAGGTACATAGCTGCATTTCTCCTTTCTTATTACCTGGGCCTTTTTTAACCAGATCCTCATTTGAGAGAGAGTTTCTACTGTGTCAAAATTCATTTAATCCAGAAGAGTCATAGTCAGAATGACCATTTATTCGTCATCTTAATCTTTTTGTTTGTTTTGTTTTGCTATGATTTTAGGCATGCCAGAATGAAGATCATCCTTGTTATATGAAAGGAGCTGAAAGTAATACTCCCACTTAACAAGATAGTAGTCCTTGCATTCAGGTTTTCTTCCTCCTGAGCAGAGAGATGCTGAGAAGGGCAAGGGACAAGTGTACAGAAGTCAGATGAGATAACAGATCTCATTGCCCTGCTGAAAATGTTGCAGTCGGTCATCTGTGATCTCAAAAAGGCAGTCTGACAATATTAGACACCAATGTGACTCTACATTATGGTCTAATTTGTTTTACTGGACTTGTGCTTGATTCTCCATTAAACGCAGGAAAACTAAAGCACTGTCAATTAGGAAAACCTATAACCTCTAAGAGTTGTTGAATGAGCTGATGTTCCTTTGAGCAATTATTTCTGCATACACAGTGATGTTACTCTAGGAAAAAGAGGACATATTGAATCTAAAACAGGTGTGGCACTTGTCTTATATAATCCCTCACTCTATCATGTTGCCTCAAAGTCAAGCTAGTAAACGGTAAGTTTTTCATGATGTGAGCACTGAAATGTGAAGTGCATATCTTAGCTTGACACAAGCTAATAAGATGCCCCCAAATGTTTATCATCTCTAAATCTTTGCATTATTTTATACTAGTGCCCCAAACAGCCTACTCAACAGGCATGTTTACATAAAGATTCTGTATGACTAGCACGATCTTCAATCAAATAGCTGTCAAGCCAGCATCCCAGCAAGAGTGGAATTCTCTATTGTCCATGTGTATATTGAAGAGTCAGACATTTGAGTACCTGGGAGACTTATGACTGGACTCTAAAAGTACAAGAAGCTTTAGTTGTATGTAGTGCTTCCAGGAAGAAGGATATGGAGGACAGAGGCAGAACGTGGAATGTGAAGTGTTGGTGTGGGATATACCAGCCACTAGCAGCTTAATCTGGTCCCTACTTTTAGTAGCAAGCAGTGAAATTGCCACGCCTTTTTCCATTTTATTGACTACTATCTCTGTTCTAAGTTCAATCAGTGGAGTTCTTCCTGCTTTTCTTTTTTTCCACCCAAGAACTATCCTCAGTGCTCTTCTGACAAAGCAGGTGGACTCAGTCCTTATCTGCTATGCTAACATGCTGGCTGAGTTCAGGGAACTTCAACTCATGAAACCTCCAAACAATTAGCAAGAAGGGTTCTGAGCCTGTACTTGAGAGCCTTCCTCCTGCAAACTTCAAACATTGCTGAGGAAGCAGAAAATGGCCTGTAGGTACAAATTCTGAACATTCTCCTCTGAAGGCTGAGACCTCTGTCGTTTTGCCTTAGATTTAATCTCACCATCCCCTGACGCAGCTAAACAGTACTCTCTTCTGGTTAGAGCAGGTTGGAGTTGTGTGTTGGGGAAATGTTTGAATGCTGGACCTCTGAGGATGAAATATGATGAGTTGGCTGCGGGAATAGAAAGCCCCACAGTTACTTTCCCATGATTACTAAAATGAATGCTAAAAAAATGGAAAAGTAGCTCTGATGAGTTTGAAAACTGTTTATCTCTGATTCCCTCGCAGGAAAGTTTAATGTGGCTGTGGCTAGCATGCGAAAGCGGAACAATATTGAAAATGTTATCTGCCCTGGAAGGGTCCTCTTCCTCATTCCACATACCTGTTTACTGTACAGATCAATGTGAGCCTGAAGTGAAGCCTAATGCTCAGCTTTGCCTTCTGTAAACTTCTCAGGGCAAGTGTTATGATAGAAACCCACAGTGGTGTTAGCTGGGGCACTGTAAGTCATCTGAGGTGTATTTGTGCTTAGTAAGGGTCCTTTCAAGCAGGCCCCTGGCTGCTGTCCTGTGGCTGACACATGCACTTTTCGTACTGGTATGCCAAAGCAGCAGCATCTGGACATGGATCCTTCAGCTGGAAGGGCTTTTATGTCAGTTTAACAGGTGCAAGTTACACACTAAACTGTGGTGAAAGTGGACTAAACTGGTGGTTTTTCCTTACTTTTCTGAATGTTGTCATCCCCCAGCTGCTCCAAAGGCTGAATTGCTACTGGATTACTCTACCTATCTGTCAGTACATTGGATGGTATTTATTTCTGCATTTAGTCCAATAGCAACCATTAGTTTAAAATCTGTTGGCACCCTTATAGTCAGAGGTAGAAGTGCTGCTGGCAGGGGGCAGTGTTTAGCTTTGCCATCTGTGAGGCCCTGCAACACGATGGCTGAAATTCCGAAACAGCAGCTATTACAGAAGCAGTGTTTCACAGACCTGGATCGGCTCCTCACACAGAGTTGTTCTAACAGCATTTAAATCACCATTTCAGTACCTCTGGCTAGCCTGGCTCAACCTCGTGAGTGGAACAGAAGTCTTGGTGAAAGATGTAAATGCAACTCATATGTTGCAGGAACTAAATTTTACAGGGCTCTCTGCTGCCTTTTGTGTGTCTCGGGTAGATGCAGGATTTAACATTACTCTGTGTTGCCTGCATGCTAAGGGAACAGGTTAAAGATGAATACCATGCTACATTGGGTTAACCACTCAGATACCGGCTATATAAAAACACTCTTAATCCTTACTGTAAAACCCCAGTGTACCTGGGTAGCTAATAACTTTTTCCTTCTAAGCTGCTCCTCCTCCTGACCCTTTCTTCCCACGGTCTCATCTCATCTCTCTTGCTCCTGTGCAACCTGTCTTTAATCTACATAGTTTTGCCAGGGCTGAGGCTGGGGCAGGTGTTGTAGGCTCAGCTGTTCCCTTCTAAATTTAAAAGTACAGGTTATAATAGTCTTTTGGTACAATTCTTAGTGCTGCCACTCTTTTTGTGTTTGTACTGTAGCCACTTGCTTCCCCCTGCTGTCTGAATTAGGCTACAGCATAGAGGAAAAGACGTATTATCCAAAGTAGAACTCTTACCCTTCTTTAAATGTGGCTTATAAAAATTAATCTTTACTTCCTATCAGAATTTTGCAAGATCAACTGATGTGATGATCATGAAGGTGTCTATGGTGATTCTCGGAGAACCCCTTTTATTTTATAAAGCTGTTCCTGCAGCCCCTTATCCTTGTATGGCATGAGGCTCTGGGCATTTAATGGATGTCAAAGGCTGGGCATTGTCCTTGAAATGCGGCAAACACAGTTTGCAACTTTTTTTCCCATTCGTGGGTAAGGTGCTTAAAATTCTCGCTTGGTTTTTGTTCCCTGCCTCCTCTGATGATCAGAAGTACAAAACACTGAAAGCAGCATCTCTGGTTGGGTGATAGTGCCTTGTTTCTGATTCAAGGCACCCTTGCCAAAGTCTTGTTGAAAAGTTGTCATCTCCTCCTCTTCCCCACTGAGTGTACGTGGAGATTGGCAAGTCCTGTATGGGTTGGCCTCTCACTGTGCCATTAGAACTGGCATCGAGTTTGCTGATGATTCTGGATGTGTGGATGTGGGCCATCCAAAGACTTACTGGCCCAGGACACGCTCTCTGCTGAACTATCAAATGGTCACTATCGTAGCAATAAACCACATTCAGACTTTCACTAGCAACTGTTAGGCCTAAACTAGTACCTGGCTAGACATCTTACTGCAGGGCATTACATGCAGTACACTCTGGGTGTATAGAAAAGAACAAGCTACTATTCAGTGGTGCCACAGAAGGGCAAATGAACTAATAGATGTTTGATGTAAAAAGTTTTAGGACTCAAAGAACCTGCAAGTACTCTATGTAAAGAACAATGTTATCATTATCAGCAGCATTGATTCAGCCCTTGTCCTTCCTGGAGTTCCATGTTGTATGTGGTTTGTGACTTTAACTGAGGACTCATCTATTTAACTGAAGTTTCCTGCGGTATCCTTGCCCCAAATTCCTCCCATGTCCCTCTGTTGTACAGTGTGCTCTGTGTTGATGGATTACTGCGCTCTATCCCAGAGGTGCCTGCATTTGTCTGTGTATGAAGTTTGTGAAGCACATTTGTTTGAAAGATCTTGTATAATTAGTGTAAGGAGGAAATTTACAACCTCCTTGAAAGTCAAATCAGGATTTCCATGTAGGGAACAACCCCATAGCAAACTAAGAGGCTTTCAGTAAAATGGGGCAGGAGGTGGGGAATCCTAGTGAACGTATGGCCGTGACTTTTGTACCTGGGATGGTGATGCAAATAGTGGGGTGCTGTCTCCAACAGAACTGAAGGGTTGCATGTAAGCAGTGTTATCAGGAAGGCTGTATTTGTGCTGATTTTATGACTTGCGTACTTGCTCAGCACACCAAGAGTTATTAGCAACGTACTGCATTTGGCTGGGCTACAAGGGTCTCTGACCTGCAGAATGATCCAGTTGGAGGGGCTGAGTGGCTGTACTATAAACTGAGATTCAAGTGGCCAAAAGTGATGGCCAAATCACAACTTCAATCCACAGGTTTGGGGGTGGGGGAGAGTAATTTATGGCTAATGTGCCGATCCTCCCCCCATCCTGGTCATTGCCTGGTCTCCTTTTGCAATCCTGTGTGGTGGCTTGCTGAGTTGTCCTTTGCTGTATGTTCAGTGATGATCAGATCTGTGGTTGATGTTGAAGCTGAAGGCATAGCAAATGGACATGAGGTTAGAACTAACTTGACTTGGGGGGATTAGATCAGTGAGGGCTGCAGGTAATGAGGGAGGTTTGGCCCTATTAAGTCTGAAGCTCTATGCCACAGGAGCGGCCATTAGCAGGTGCTCCCATTGCGGGGTGACTTGATTGTATTCACTTACACAGCAAAGAGGAATAATTCTCTCCACTGCAGCAAATATAAGGGGGAATTCTCTGGCCTGTGTATTGCAGAGGGTCACAGTGATGCCTTCATGGTCTTTTCAGATTGAGCTCTTTTAATACCCTCCCAGTGTTACTACCTCATATAACAATGCACTCTTTTCCCCAACAGTAGTGTGCGATCCGAGCTGTGGAAAGGAGTCGTCCAGTGGAGCACAGTTGTAAAAGTTGGACATTTTGGTTTAGGAATTGGGAGACCTGAGTTCCATTCCCAGTTCTGACACTGCCTCTCTGTGTGACCTTGGGCAGGTCACATTGTCTCTTCATGCCTCAGTTTCCCCATCTGTAACATCAAATAAGGACAGCTCTCTCCCAGCAGTTTTGTGAGTGTGAATGAATTTCTGTGAACCACTATGCCCTCCTCTGTCCTTTTGCAGGAGGATCGCAAAGTGTTGTTGGGTTTGGCATAAAATAGAGTGAGGGAAGTGGGTTGAGATGGCCCCTGAAGGAGAGGCTTAGCTGTAACTATGAATCTTTCTTTTGGGTTTGTGTTGCCGCCATATGTGGCATTTGAACAAACTTATTTGGGAAAATACATCTTTCTAAAAGGCTACAGGAACTTTGCCAAGAGGCAGGGTGGTAGTACGGGTGTGGGCTGGGAAGGAGGGGACATATGCTCTTCTACTTAATAAAGCTTTTCTACTTAATAAGCAATACTGAGGTACTTGTCATGCTGGTATTCAATTGCCAAGATACAATTTTGGGGGCAAAAAATGATTTAGGAAAGGCTCATCTAGTTATTAATAAAAAAAAAACCACATTAGGAAGCAACCATGCTGACACCACCTTTATACTGCCAAGGCAGATGGGCAGAGTGGAGTATTGAGGTGTCAGTGCAAAATGATATATGCTCTGCAGAGATGGGAATTGGAGAATAGATGGCTCTGCTCTGGGACCAAAAAAAAAAAAATCAAGCTCAACCCAGTTTGGTGTTGCTAGTTCCATCAATGGCTGTTAGTCAGGATTGGCAGGAATGTAAAACTATGCTCTGAAGTGTCCCTAGCCTCTGTTGCCAGAAGCTGGGAATGGGCAACAGGGTAAGGATTGCTTGATGATTACCTGTTCTGTTCATTTGCTCTGGGGCACCTGGCAGTGGCTACAGTCAGAAAACAGGATACTGGGCTAGATGGACCATTGGTCTGACCCAGTATGGCTGTTCTTATGTTGCTGACTAGCAAAGGAAGATGGCATTCAGGAAAACTGAACCTTTCCAACCGTTAACAGAAGGTGCTAGGCTATGATGCAACTCCGGGTTGAGATTCACACTTGACACTAAGGTCAATGATGCTTTATTTGGTGACTTCCCTACACAAGCCCAAAGGTTTGCCCATAGGACCTTCCCCCTCTGTCTGTAAACAGAACTTTAGACAGTTTTTAACAAGCGTGGTCCTAGTTTGCTGAACCAGAATAACACATACATCACTATTTGGATGTTTTCCACACAGCTAGAACTTCTTGATGCACAAGCTGGATTTTCTGAAGTGCTTGTCACCCTGATACAATGGCTCTGATCCTACTATCTGCACTCTAAGTAGTTATACCACCTTTATCACTGAGGTATCTGAGCAGAGATCTATGTTCATCTCATAAGCACATGCGTATCTGGTGTGTCACAAATAACATTGCATAAAATTCTCCTGGTATTGCTTTGGAAAGCAGGTTAACCTGGCTCAGTCAGTGGTTGCCATTCAAAGTTAACGGGTTCAGCTGTTAGCAGTACCTAGGATCATGAGAGCCTGATCTGCCTCAAACAGGATTTTAAATCCCTTAGTGGAATTTGGGGCTTTTAGCTTTAGGTTAGTGGTCTGGACCTAGCCAACCAGAGTCTGTAAGTTGTTCAGTCCAGTTCCTAATGGACAACAGTCTACTTCACAAACAGCCTAGTGTGGCCACAATCAGCTGGCTGCTGACCACTTCTTTAGGAGGCAGAGAGAGGCTACCCAGACAGAATTCTCCCCTAGCAGGGGACTGTTCAGGACAGGCTTGGGGAAGTTTGCCCTGCTGCTGACCATGCTTTGCTTCTATTGTACGTAAATAGCGTCCATCTCCAGTGCTGTGGAGCTGGTTCCTAAATCCACAGCTGTCAGCTTTTAATGAAGGGAAGAACATGTCTTTGCTCTTGAGTCTTATAAGTACATAGAAAGCAGAAGAAACAAGGGCATTTGTATTTATTTTATTTTTAATCACTTGTATAAAGTACCAACTCTGTGGGATCTAGGAGATTGGTTAAAATAAATAAAGGTAACAATTGTCCCCAGTCCTCGCTGGCTGAGTTTGAGGCTGGAGTGGGGAGCTGCTGAAATCCCTTTGTTGGAGCAGCAGCTGCACTGGGAGGCATTGCTAGAATATAGGATGACTTACAGCTAAGGACTCAAGGGCGGGGAGATGAGCCCTTTCCAGACACTAGCATCACCCCACAATGTCCAAGGGCCTTTTGTTATCGACACTCTTGATGTGGGGGGCAACGTACGTGCTTCTTATCAAGCGTTCCCTGCCCCAGAATTACTTGCAAGGTGGATTTAAGCTGGTGATGCCCCAGAACAAGGTGAAGGTGCTTGGATGGCTCTAAGAGATGAGCTCCAATCCAGGCACAAACCTTCCATTCTTATTTCAGTAGCTTGGAGAAAAATAGGGAGGAAGCAAGTAAATTAACTTGGGCTTCTGCTCTACGGGGCTGCCAAAACCTCAAGCCCTGATTGGTCTGAGCTATAACCAATGGAAGGTGTGGCTGCTGAAAGCATCTACGGTGTTGAAAGAATGTCCTGATGGCCTCTGCAGGAGAGCAGTGCTGGTTCCTGTGGCTGGAGACATGCACCCAGCAGCAGGTGACTGCTGGAGAGACCGTGTGTGTTAGCTTAAGAAGTGCTACCTGGAAGATCCATGACTCTCCTTCCTAGTAGTCTCTGCTAAATGGGGATGCCTGTGCCTCAGCATCCCGCGAATGGTGTTTGGCACACTCCCCCTGCTTGGGGCTGTGCTTCTCACAGTGCTTGCTGCAGTTGCCTCTCTTGGATGTGGTGGCAGTGGAGTGCGCAGGCGAGGCGGGTACCACTGGCCTCTCCTGGCTGTTGCAGCGATGAACCAGGATGGGCTCCTTGGGGCTGGCCTTGCTCTTCAGGAGGCGCTGAAGCAGCTGCTTGTCCGACCGCTCCTTCCTGAAGTCATCCTCAAAGATCTTAAGCTGCAGGGAAGACAAAGGAAAAACAAAACTGAGCAGGGAGAGGCAGGTGAGCCCAGAGGTGGCTCTGGCCAGCTCTGTGCAACTTGAGGCACTAGCTATTGTGCAGCTAAAACCATGAACCACTTTTGAAGACACTTTAAATTCAGTCCACACTGATTTGGGGAGGGAATAATTCCCATCTCCTATTTTCTGATCTGCTTTTCCCAAGTGGCTAGCACTTTCCAAAGATCAGAATAACAATTCCAGCTATTCAGCTACCTAGCACTTGGCATGGTGATTGGGTACTATATAAATACATAGGCCAGACCTGACCCCAGCTCATTCCCCTGTAGTTGTGTTAGCCCACAAAACTGGGTGACTGGGCACCCAAATTGTAGATGAAATTCAGTGTTGATAAATGCAAAGTAATGCACATTGAAAAACGTAGTCCAGACTATACATACAAAATAATGGGGTCTAAATTAGCTGTTGCCACTCAAGAAAGATCTTGGAGTCGTGGAGCGGATGTTTTCAGAGAACTATCAATGATATGCAGCGGAAGTCAAAAAAGCTGACAATGTTAGGAACCATTAAGAAAGGAATAAATAGTAAGATAGAAAATATCCTAATTCCATTATGTAAATCCGTGGTACACCAATGCCTGGAATACTGTGTACAGTTCTGGTCGCCCCATCTCAAAAAAGATATATTGGAAATGGAAAAGGCACAGAGAAGGACAAGGCAACAAAAATGACTCCGACTATGGAACAGCTTCCACACGAGGAGAGATTAAAAAGCCTGGGACTTTTCAGTTTGGAAAAGAGACGACTGAGGGGGGAATGTGATTGAGGGCTATAAAATCAGGAATGGTGTGGAGAAGGGGAATAAGGAAGTGTTATTTACTCTGTCACATAACACAAGAACTAGGGGTCACCCAATGAAATTAATAGGCGGCAGGTTTAAAACAAACAAAAGGAAGTACTACTTCACACAACACCCAGTCAGCCTGTGGAACTCATTGCCAGGGATGTTATGAAGGCTGAAGCTATGACTGGATTAGAAAAAGAACTACAGTTCATGGAGAATAGGTCCATCAATGGCTATTAGCCAAGATGATCAGGGACGCAACCCCATGCTCTGGGTGTCCCTAAACCTCTGACTACCAGATGCTGGGACTGGGCGACAGGGAATGGGTCACTTGATAATTGCCCTGTTCTGTTTATTCCCTTTGAAGCATTTGGCATTGGCTGCTGTCGAAAGACAGGATACTGGGCTAGATGGACTACTGGTCTAACCCAGTATGGCCGTTCTTATGTACTAGATATCTAGACCATCCGGGATTAGGAAATAGTCCCCTTGTATCATCTGCATCCCTGACTAGTGAGAATCCTTCAGCTTCAAGAGAGTGTTTCGGGACAAGCAGCCTTGTGCCATTAAACTGCATGGAGCCTGGCAGTGCACTGCAGCGATGGATGGTTGGTACAGACTCCCTAAGCCCTGAAGATCGGGGAAAGTTGCAGATGGTAAGGAGAGACCGGCTGGAATGGGTTTCTTACGTCGCTTTCAAAAATCAACCCTCTTCATTTTTTAAGTAGCCCATGGCTGAAAGGACACTGGGACTGTGGCTGCTTCCTCCATTTGACTGCTCACAAGGAAAGGGATGTCTTTCTAACTGCCAGTTCAGCCTCCTGCTGGGATTGGAAAGTCAAGCAGCGTTTTCCTCTGCACCTGTTGTGTTTACTGGGAATATTCAGCTCTAAACTGAGGGCAGAGCATGTCACTTTAGAGGGACCTTCGCTAACAAAGTTGGTGATCCATAAGCCAGACCCGACCCCAGCTCGTTCCCCAGTAGCTGTGTTGGCTCCACAGAGCCAGCAGTCAAGTTTTGTTATTAAAAGCAGCAGATCTAATCTCTCAGCATTTCTACAGCATCAATCACCATAATATCTCAGTGCTGGCTCTAAATGCCCATCAGGAACAGATCTGTTGAATGGTAAGGTGCTCTTCGATCTTCACCGCATTATAAGAAAATGGGACCTGCTAACAGTTGTAACTTGCAGACCAAGAGACAATACGGCGAATCACATCTCATGCTTAGGGTGGGCCCTTCAGGGTTCAGAAAGGATTCCCCTGCACATACAGCTACATTAACTGGAGGCAGAAAAACTTGCAAGGTAGATCAGGAAGGGTCTTTCACATTTTCTCACGCTTCAGGCACTGGTCAATGCCAGAGCCAGGGGGCTAAATCAGCAGGATCAGTGATCTGATTCAGTATGGCAAGCCCCATGTTCCTAAATCCATTCTGCCCTCATTGGGAAAGCCTCAAATACAGCCTAGTTGCTGGCTGTTGCTGTTCCTTCCCTGCAGCTGAGTTGCATTAACAGGCTGACCAGTGCACTTGGGGGGAACTCACCTGCTCTCTCAGAAGTACCATCTGCTGCCTCATCTCCTCCTCCTTCTTCCGTAGCTTCTCGTTCTCTGCTTTGATTCGCTCCCGGTCTTTGTGTTCTGTCCTGTAATCCGCCTCATAAATTTCTGTCTGTGAAAGCAGGAAGAGATGCCTGTCAGTAGGGGCTTGGAAGCCCTGTCACTGCCGGGTAACCGGCCAGTACACTAGGGAGGGATGATCATTCTACAGCAGGGGTGAGCAAGCTTTTTGGCCTGAGGGCCAGATGGGGGTTGTGAAACTGTATGGAGAGCCAGGTAGGGAAGGCTGTGCCTTCCCAAACAGCCTGGCCCCCCTGCACCCTATCTGCCCCCTCCCACTTCCCATCCCCCCCCCTGCTCCTTGTCCCTTGACTGCCCCCTCCTGGGACCCCCCGCCCCTAACCACCCCTCGGGACCCTGCTCCCTGTCCCCTGAGTGCCCCGACCCCTATCCACACCCGTGCCCCCTGACAGCCCCTCCCCCCCCAGCACTCCCACGCCCATCCAACCCCCCCCCTGCTCCCTATCCCCTGACTGCCTCCTGGGACCCCCTACTCCTTATCCAACCCTCTCCCCTGCCCACCCCCTTACCATGCTGCTCAGAGCAGCAGGGGCTTGCAGCCCCACCGGAGCCAGCCATGCCACCCGCACTGCCCAGTAGGAGCAGTGGGCCAGGCAGCGGTGCTGCGGGGGAGGGGCTGGGGGCTAGCCTCCCCATCTGGGAGCTCAGGGGCTAGGCAGGACAGTCCCACCGGCCGGATGTGGCCCACGGGCCATAGTTTGCCCACCTCTGTTCTACAGTCTTATGCCCATTGTCATGCAAAGGTCACTGCCACCTTTTGGGGACTGGTTATGCCAATGTCTTCCCCTTGCTACTCCAATAATACTACCTAGTTCTTATATAGTCATCTCAAAGCACTTAGGGATCATTATCCCCAATTTACAAATGCGGAAAGTGAGGCAGAGAGACACAGTGACATGCCCGAGGTTACCCAGAAGCCCAGTGGCAGAACTGGGACTAAAACCCAGATCTCACAAGTCCTGGTCCAGTATGCTAGCAACTAAGCAACACTGTTTGAACTCTAACAAGGTGGTGCTGGAAGAATGCTTCCAGGGTCGCTCCAAGCTGGGAGGATGGGGGATTAAATTGATACAGAGGGGTGGTGTGAACTGGTGAAGGAGCAAAGCACAGAGCCAATACTCAGTCCTTCCTGCGAAAGGTTGGAGAGGAGTACTGCCCCGCTCTTGGACGTTCGCCTGAGATTAGCTCCCTCTCCCACCTGCCTTACCAAACATTTCAGTGAGGTTCTCTTTTCTTCCCCCCGCAGCAGTCCCTTTCCCCATGAGCACCCATCCTTCATGACTGATGCTGAGTTACCTGCAGGGGTCGGCACCACCATGTTGCGTGACGGACACTTGACAAAATTATCATACTTAGTGACGGATGTTGGGGGTGGGGGAGTTAGGTCATTCAGTCATTTGAAAAATTACCACAGACCTCAACATTTTTACCACAAACACGTTGCTGAGCCCTGGTTACCTGGCATTTCAAGGCCTCCAGCTGGTCCTTCAAGTCAGTCACCTCTTTCACAGGATCCGAGCTATTATTCACGTGGACCAAGTGCTTGCACTTCCTGGGCTTGTAGGTCTCACCCCCTTGCACTTTCTGACTGGCCTCTTCATGCTTTTTGGATGAATTCTCCTTCAAGCTCTTCCTGGGAAGCAGGAACTGAGCATCTACAAATTCCTCCCAGGGCACAGATGCCAATACCTCGGAGCCCTAAGGAAGGAAAGGCTTAAAGGTCAGTTGTTGGCATCATCCAGCGCATTGGTGACCAGCTTCTTAGAAATGCTAAATGATCACATGTACGTTGAGCCCTGGGTGTTTCATTCTCTTCCTGGTCACAATACATTAGGATAAGGGACAGCAGTTTGGTCTCTAGGTGACAATAGGGGGAGGGGCTGGGTGGGGCTGTGTTTGACACTGAATTTGTTGCTTCTTGCAAAGTCATTCTTGGGGTAGCAGACCCTCGCAAGCCACCCTCCCATTGAGCCAGCCTACAGCCTTCAGGGAGCCAGCAAGACAGGCCAGTTCAGAGTGGCTGCATGTGGCATCGCGATATGGAAACAGCTGAGAAGCCCTAAATCAGGTCATGTCCATGGTAGGAGAAGGAACCATGCATGAGTCAGAAAAGCATGAAGGTAAAGCTAAGGTCTCCTGGTGCCCAGCCTAACAAAGGGGTTCTGTGCTACCAGAGAAGCTTGCTCCTGAAGACGTGCATTTACTGTCAGTCTCTCCGGGGAGATTTGAATCTCCTCTGCATTTTTTGGTTTGTTTCAGATATAATTTTGGATCATGAGCCGTTCCAACAAGAGAGCAACTAAACTGTTCAAGACCACATCTCTCTGCTACCAGCAACTCCATCGAAGAGCCACCTGAAACAATGGGCTTAGCAAAATAAGACTATTGTATGATATAGGGAAACAGGTGGTCCAGTGGATAGGTGTGGCCTGGAAGTTGGGAGAAGTAGATTCTAATCTCGGTTCTGCCACTGACCTGCTGTGTGACCATGGGCAAGTCACTTCCTCACTGTGCCTCAGTTTCCCCTCCTGTTCAGAATGTAAAATCTGTTGTGTATGGCCAGGGCTTAGCAGAACAGGGACACAACATGGGGCCTGTAGACATTACTCTAATACAAATAACAAAATAAGATGTCTGCACTGGCTTTCAAGCGGTGTTGGAAAGCTTCAGCATGGCTGTAGCTGAAATAATCTAGTACAGTTTGGCTGGCCAGTGTGTATGGGGCCAAGCTATAGGGGAGCCTTGATCTAGCCTTGATTCCTAGCCAGGTTTGAGCCAGGTTTGTTGTTTTAACACAGTTGGATCCCCATCCATGCTCGCCAGCCAAATTCTGGAGCACATTTGGGTGCAATTGTACTTCAAAGCCAGGATAGATGGAACTGGAGTCCTTTGGAAAGTCAAGGGAAGAAAGAGAAATTATAGGTGCTGACTGGCTGGTGGGCTCACATAATGAGGCATATACATTGTCAATAATTCTCCCACTCTTGTTCTAGCCCCACCCAGAGAATGCTGGTGTCGACTGGGTGTGCTGATCTCCCTGTCCTCTAAACCTGTTCCGAGCACCAGGCCATCCCCAGCTGTTAGAGGACAGGGTTGTGGTGGGAGATGGACTCTTTGTGCTGCTGAGAATATTTCTTTGCTTCTTTCATTCTGATTTTTGCATCCTGAACCTCAGTAATTATAGCTGAGTCAAACTTGCTTAATGCATTTTTGTTAATAGAGTTGGCTACATGCTCTGGCAACTTGCATGGCCCTGGGACATTGTCAAAGCCATGGCTGTACATCAGCACTGACCTAGTGTCTTTCACTCCTAGCAGTATGACAAATGCCAAGCACAGGGGGCCTTTGAGTCCACAGCTAGGAGCTGGTCTAAAGACTGTGGGGTTCCTTGCCCTCCCTGAGTGAAAATGGAGGTGGTGGCTGTTTTCAGTGCAATAACAAAGCTGGGCTCTCCCAACCCAATGAGTCACTGTCAGTTGTGTTTGTAATACTGCAGCTTTGGTACAGAACCCGTTCTTAGATTTCTTTATGGGAGGAGGAGGAGGGTTTACAATGAACTTACAGCCGAGGTCCTCTTCTCCCTGCCGTGGTGCTGTCTGCCTTCTAGCTGCCTCACGTACTCCTGTAAATGCTGGTTCTTCTTGAGCTCCTGGATGAGGGTTTGTTCGTAGTACTCCCTCTTGTTCTGCAATGGGGATGGACACAGTCAGAACAGCATCTAACAGTCAAAGGAAGCAAATAGGCCCTGGATGCTACTTGCAGCATCCTAAACTCACATGTGGTAGGAGAGGGGTTTCTGTTCTGACCTTTCTCCACCCAGCCTTATTGTGCCACTTCCTGGAAATCTATGCAAAGAAGGGAGCTGCAGTGTGTCTTTTGCAAGCAGCAAACCTATGTCCTTTACCTCCCCAGCTCCCTCACAGTCAGCTAAACCATTGGTGTCTTCAGTGTCACCGCAGGGATAGTACACTTAATGAGGCTCTAGCAGTGGCCAGCTTGGTGACCTTAGGCAAGTTGCTCGGCTTCTCTGTGCCTCAGTTTCCCTAACAAGGAGATAATTATACTGACTTCCTTTGTAAAGTGCTAAATAAAGAGTGTCTTCAGTGAGCTCTGAATCAGGCTCGCTGGGCTTTGCTCTGTCCCCGTACAGTTCCTCTAGATGGTATGACTCCCTGATGAATTTGGTATTAGAGATGAGGAGAGTAGGTTTGGAAAACGAGCTGGGTATTATGTATCCCTTCCTCCTGCCACCAGTATTTTTAGGACTAGGCAAAGGCCCATCAGATTCACGTCTCTTGTCATCTAAGACAGATTTGAATCAGAGCTTTTCCCAGTGCAAGTAACCTAGGGGCTCACCTACCACTGTAGCTCTGACTGCAGAGGAGGCTGGTGCCTCTGCCCCTGGTGCTTCATTTCTACACCACGCAGTCTCTCTGGATGAACACAGCATGGCAGTGCTCTGCCTTTGGGGGGAGAAGGGAAGAGCCCCTGAGGGAGGCAAGAGAATGTTGCTACACAACTGAAAAACTGACCTGCCAAATAAGACTCGAGGAGAGGAGATTGGCTGACCTGGAACTCTACACAGAACCACCGTCTCAGGATTTGCTGCCTTAGTCCCTCCCCTGTGCTGTCATGTGATCTCAACACAAGCCTAGCCCTAGGCGCTCTGCTGCATGCCCAGAAAGTAGCAGGGGCTCCTTTGCTCACCTGTTCATGCTCAAGCTTCATGGAGAGCCTCTCCGTCTGCTGCTTGAGGATGACCACCTCCTCCTGCAGGGCCCCCATCTTCTGCTGCAGCCCCAGGGTAGTGGTGTGGTAAATTTGGTCCCACTCCTGATTTAGCTTCATGAGCTGCAAGAGTGGGGCAGAAAAGCCACTGGTGAGTTTAATTGCCCTTCTTCTTTCCACACAGGGAGTGAGTGTTCTCTACACCAGACTAACCCCCAACAGGTTATGTGCCCATTCACCCATCACAGGTGAACGTCACTCAGCCATTCTGGGCCGAATGAGAAATAGCTTCTCCTGTTGGAGTTTCTAGGGAGATGATGGGGACAGAAGGGATTGGGGAAAGGACCTGCCCAGGACACTTGTCTTAACAACTCTGCTCTGGCTATGGGCTATTTAATTATTATAGATTCTAGCCCCAGGGCACTTCCTAGGCACGTAACAATGGAAGGTCCTGGCTCTAAGGGGCTTCTGTGGTAGCAGGACTGAGTCGGGGGGGGGGGGGGGTAAGTCTAGGGTCTTGTCTTCACTAGAACATTGGCTCCTGTTGGTACATGACGTTGGGGAGTCATGGTAGCAAACACAATGGTACCCAGTGTAGACTAGGGCGAGCTGTGCTCAGCATTAATTCTGGGGGTTGTGGTTAAACTCGTGTGATTGTAACCTACACACCTCCTGGGTGTGGTGCTCTGTCCCCTCTAGTGGCTCTGAGACCACTTAGAGACTAATGAGTCTGCTACAGCCTTAGCTAAGAGCCATGTTGCTTTTAATTCATGCAGTAGAGGCTCATGCATTTAGCTCTAGAGGTCCCAGGTTGGATCCCGCCCGCCGACGACGACAATGACCCAGCTGGCAGACAAGATCCAGCAGGATCACAGCCTGATTTGATACACAGGAGCTCACCCTCTGCTGGTGCTGCTGCCTTGGACTCTGTACCCTAAGTCCAGTATGCGGCTGCATAGTCAGCTGCATGGTCCCATGGGAGGGAAGAGACTAAAGATGAAGACCTGGCTTCTATGGGGATGTAACTGCACTCACTACTGTGATATGCGTAGGGCAGGACTTGGAGAACAGAGCACAGCCGGACCCACACAGTGCTATTGGGAAGAGGGGCAGATCTGGAAGGGCTCTTAGTGCGTGAGGAGGACTGTACATCTGCATGCAGGAACTATTCTGCCCCCTACCCACCCCCCCACCCCTGCTAGCCAAGGAGATAATGAGGGAGCTGTTCATTGGACTGGAAGGGACCTTTTGAGTCAACGAGTCTGGTCCTCGCTATCATGGGCAAACCCTGGAAGGACCAACAGTTTCCCCTTGGCTGGCCCTGATTGACGTAGCATAGCTCAGTACAGGGCGCTGGAGAGGATTTAAACTTGGAGAGTGGTCAGTTTAGATGAGCTATTACCAGCAGGAGAGTGAGTTTGTGTGTGTATGGGGGTGGGGGGGATGTGAGAAAACCTGGATTTATGCAGGAAATAGCCCGACTTGATTATGTAAAGAGTTGTCACTTTGGATGGGCTAGCACCAGCAGGAGAGTGAATTTGTGTGGGGGGGTGGAGGGTGAGAAAACCTGGATTTGTGCTGGAAATGGCCCACCTGTTGATCACTTTAGATAAGCTGTTACCAGCAGGATAGTGGGGTGGGAGGAGGTATTGTTTCATATTCTCTATGTATATATAAAGTCTGCTGCAGTTTCCACGGTATGCATCTGATGAAGTGAGCTGTAGCTCACGAAAGCTCATGCTCAAATAAATTGGTTAGTCTCTAAGGTGCCACAAGTACTCCTTTTCTTTTTGGAGAGGAGGGTGTGAGGGCTGAGCATACTGCAGGGACAGATGGGGTGTGCGGGTGCACCAGCCACAGAGAGGCGGCTCAAGGCACGCCTGTAGCTTGCGTGAGGCGGTCTATGGCCCAGGGAGCTGAGACGGGGGCGCCTGTGCTTTGTTCACCTCCTTGTTGATGCGCCGCAGCTCTGTGTTCTTGTTGAGCAGCAGCAGCTTCTCCTCGTCAGCCGAGGTCACCGTCATGCTCTCCGAGATGTAGGTGACGATCTCCTCTGAGTTGTGCTGGTTGGAGATGGCAGGCTCGCTGAGCACTTGGGGTGCGCCCTCCCTGCCAGCATCACCAAGAGAGGAGGAAAGTCAACGAGGGGAAAAAGAAGGAAGGGGCATAACTCCCATTCTTCACTGAGGTGTCTGGCTCCAGGATAGGGGCCCCAGCATCAGCACCCACTCCTCTCTGGGGCCCTCACCCCAGGGTGCCCCTCTGCACCCATTCCCTGTGCAGGCGCACTGCCTTGTTGCTCACATCAGCGTCCTCTCCAGGGAGTGACATGAGGGCCCCAGCTTATGCCCTGCTCTTCCCCCACCCTGGCTTCCCAGGAGCAGTACCCAAGAAACACAACGGGGCTAGATCTGTGCACAGAAAGCTCTCCCCTTACCCGGGTGTCAACATAGGGGGCTGTGACCCAGCCTAGCTTAGCAGGCTCCTCAAAGCCTCCAGCTGGAGAACAAGTTCTCTCTGATGCATTCCGTGTCCACTACAAGCACAGTCACATACTGAGGAGGGCTCAGAGGAGTAGAGTTACACTGATCTCACACAGAAATTGGGGAAGTTCTTGGTAAGTGGTATTTGCATACCCTAGATTTGCATAATCAGCTTCATTGAAAAGGGGTTTTGAAGGGGAATTCAGCTAGAGAGAAGTGTGTGTGACACTGAGGCACTGTGAGCCTAGGTTCGTTCCTACCGGCCTCATTCTTCAAACTGCTGAGCCCTCACATCTCCCAGGGCCGCCCCTCGGCGCCTCACCCAGGCAGGCCCTCGCACACAACAGTGGACAGTGTGTCACCAGAAACTGTCCCTTGGAAGGTTTGCGAGTGGAGTCGTGAGCAAGATCCAACAGATCACCTCTAATGAGTATGCCCTGCCCACTGTCATCCCGTACAGTAATTCTCAGTGTGTTAACCTGCAAACCCAGCGTGACGTTATCTGATTAAACTATGACTATGTAGATCATTGTTGCTACCACTGTTATCTAATTGAAACACATCTTGTACAAAATGTGGCATGTAAGATGTCTGTGGACAGGCTATAGATTGCTGAATATGATTGTGCCATTTGTATGCATGTATCAGTTTTGTAGCTGAAGTTAGGAATATTAACTATGTACCTGTATTTTTAAGGTGTTTGCTTCTGGGCGTTTAGCCAACAAGGTGTTTATCCAGCACATTATGAAGGAACTATTCAAGTAGAATGGCCCATTAAAGAACACTTAACTTACAATGGAAGATACCTATCTACTCTTAATGGACTTTCCTGCTATGACTAAGCCAAGTTATGCTTGGACATGTGACTTGCCTATGTGACTCCAAACTCCATCTTTTACCTGCACACAAACTCACTCTCCTGCTGGTAATAGCTCATCTAAACTGACCACTCTCCAAGTTTAAATCCAAGTTAAACCAGAACATCTGGGGGGGGGGGGGGGGGGTAGGGAAAAAACAAGAGGAAACAGGCTACCTTGCATAATGACTTAGCCACTCCCAGTCTCTATTTAAGCCTAAATTAATAGTATCCAATTTGCAAATGAATTCCAATTCAGCAGTTTCTCGCTGGAGTCTGGATTTGAAGTTTTTTTGTTTTAAGATAGCGACCTTCATGTCTGTGATTGCGTGACCAGAGAGATTGAAGTGTTCTCTGACTGGTTTATGAATGTTATAATTCTTGACATCTGATTTGTGTCCATTTATTCTTTTACGTAGAGACTGTCCAGTTTGACCAATGTACATGGCAGAGGGGCATTGCTGGCACATGATGGCATATATCACATTGGTGGATGTGCAGGTGAACGAGCCTCTGATAGTGTGGCTGATGTTATTAGGCCCTGTGATGGTGTCCCCTGAATAGATATGTGGGCACAATTGGCAACGGGCTTTGTTGCAAGGATAAGTTCCTGGGTTAGTGGTTCTGTTGTGTGGTATGTGGTTGTTGGTGAGTATTTGCTTCAGGTTGCGGGGCTGTCTGTAGGCAAGGACTGGCCTGTCTCCCAAGACTTGTGAGAGTGTTGGGTCATCCTTTAGGATAGGTTGTAGATCCTTAATAATGCGTTGGAGGGGTTTTAGTTGGGGGCTGAAGGTGACCGCTAGTGGCGTTCTGTTATTTTCTTTGTTAGGCCTGTCCTGTAGTAGGTAACTTCTGGGAACTCTTCTGGCTCTATCAATCTGTTTCTTTACTTCTGCAGGTGGGTATTGTAGTTGTAAGAAAGCTTGACAGAGATCTTGTAGGTGTTTGTCTCTGTCTGAGGGGTTGGAGCAAATGCGGTTGTATCGCAGAGCTTGGCTGTAGACGATGGATCGTGTGGTATGGTCAGGGTGAAAGCTGGAGGCATGCAGGTAGGAATAGCGGTCAGTAGCTACCTTCGAGACACCACTGACTTCCTGAGGAAACTTCAATCCATCGGTGATCTTCCTGATAACACCATCCTGGCTACTATGGATGTAGAAGCCCTCTACACCAACATTCCACACAAAGATGGACTACAAGCCGTCAAGAACACTATCCCCGATAATGTCACGGCTAACCTGGTGGCTGAACTTTGTGACTTTGTCCTTACCCATAACTATTTCACATTTGGGGACAATGTATACCTTCAGATCAGCGGGGTGGGGGGGATGTGAGAAAACCTGGATCTATGCAGGAAATAGCCCGACTTGATTATGTAAAGAGTTGTCACTTTGGATGGGCTAGCACCAGCAGGAGAGTGAATTTGTGTGGGGGGGGTGGAGGGTGAGAAAACCTGGATTTGTGCTGGAAATGGCCCACCTGTTGATCACTTTAGATAAGCTATTACCAGCAGGACAGTGGGGTGGGAGGAGGTATTGTTTCATATTCTCTGTGTGTATATAAAGTCTGCTGCAGTTTCCACGGTATACATCTGATGAAGTGAGCTGTAGCTCACGAAAGCTCATGCTCAAATAAATTGGTTAGTCTCTAAGGTGCCACAAGTACTCCTTTTCTTTTTGCGAATACAGACTAACACGGCTGGTTTCAGAGGAACAGCCGTGTTAGTCTGTATTCGCAAAAAGAAAAGGAGTACTTGTGGCACCTTAGAGACTAACCAATTTATTTGAGCATGAGCTTTCATGAGCTACAGCTCACTTCATCGGATGCATACCGTGGAAACTGCAGAAGACCTGTAATTTTACTTTTTTCTTTTACCTGTAATTTTCCACAGTAAGAACAATAGGATTCCCTTCCCTTGAGAGAAGCTATAAAAGGCGCTGGAAACATTTCCATCAAACCTCTGGACTTATATTAATGGGAGCATTATAACCAAAGGACTGAGGACCTTCCAATGAGTTGGAAGCAACCAGAGACTTGTCAAGCCAGCAGTTTATTCCATCACTGCTAAAAGCTTGATCCAAGAACTTTGCATTTATTGTATGTATTTGATTCCTTTAACCAATTTTAACTCTCACCTTTCTTTCTTTTTATAAATAAACCTTTCAATTTTAGATACTAAAGGATTGGCAATGGCATCATTTTTGGGTAAGATCTGACTTATATATTGACCTGGGTGTGTGGCTGGTTCTTTGGGATCAGAAGAACTTTTTATCTGATTAAATTGGTTTTAAGGAACCACTCATCTATAAGTCTAGTGTTTTTGGTGGTGATACAAAGACTGGATTACCGAAGGAAACTGCTTTTCTGACTTCTGGTTAGCAAGTGTGGTGAAACAGAAAGTTGCTGGTTTGGTATATCTCATGGAAGAATAACGACCAGTTTTGGAGAGTGTCTGCCCTATTTTTTCGGCAGTTTGTCCTGAATTTGGTATTCTTAGTTGTGACCCACTGAGGCACGGTTACACGCAGCCTACCTGCCCCATGGCCCAGCACAGTGCTATACTGAAATGTCCTCTCACTGATCCATGTGATTTTTGTAACCTAGACAGCACTACTGTGCCTTTGCTGTTATGCTATGGGGGCACTGTAAACAACCATAGCTAGGGTGCACCTGTTAAATTAAGTGACCCTTGTTTATTTGTCAGGCTACATCTGGGGGTCAATGGGTCTTAGTGAGATATTGTTCAAATCTTTATTAGCAGATCTATGGTGTTAAAAACTAAGCCCAGAAGGTCAGAAACACACACACACACACACACACCTTAACATTTCAAAGGCTCCTAAACACTTTTACTTGTAGCCTTCCAAAAAAAAACCCATCTGCTTATGAGTAAGTAAGTGGTTCTGACCAAGAAGTGTTGTCATGTCTAACAAAGGGATTTAAACCTCTCTGTCACTGAGCACAAACCTTAACAAAGGATCCATGACCAATGCCTCCAGAATAGCTGTCTCCTTTCCCCACGTGCTTCCAAAAGCAGAACTAAGAGCGGATCTGTCTGCAATTTTACCTCTCAGTGGGGAGGGGAATGGTCACAAAGTCATGAATCAAAGCCAAATCCCTTCTCAGTGCCAGCAGGGCAGCCCCATGGAGTCCTTACCATGAGCTAAGCTAGTTGGGGACCATCGGCAATGGGAGAAAACTGCCCGGTGGAAATCACAGTGTGACCTCTTTTTTCCACTTTATTGAGTTATTTGAGATCCCCTTGATGATTGAAACTGGAACTGCTTAGGACAGCAGCAGCAGCTGCCTCGTGGGACTCAAACAGCCCCTTGCAGTTCACTGGAAGGGGGAATTGGAGCAGAAGTACAAATATTAACATATATTTGCATTTTGTGGAAACACCGAGAGGTCTGAATTTCAGTAATGGGCCCGGGCTTGAGATCACGGCACTAAAACCAGGTCTGAGGGGGAAAGTGAGATGGGAATCAGAAGAATTTTATGGGCTTCTATCTCTTGGTCTGCCAGGTCTGGAAAGGATTGCTTTGTACCAGCAGGGAGCTGGAAATCCCAACAGCTTGCCAGGCAGATTCACCAATTTTTCCACCCCAGTCCTTCTGGTGTATGTATTGTGGGACCTTGCGACCTTTATTTGTCCCTTGGACTACTGGCCAAATATAGCAAGTGCTAGACCATATTTCAGTGTAATCCTTTTGGGATTCATTCAGGTGTTGATGGAAGAATCCCTTAAATTGCAACAGTGTTTTCACTAG